CGAAAATTGCTACCATTCTAGCACCAGTATTGTATAGTATCTAACACAAGAAAAATAAAACCAATATTAAGTAGACATTATAAACGTTAGTCAACTTCATTGTTTCGTAAAATAAATAGATTAGGGAGGGATTTGAGGTGTGAAGCAACATAGAAAATACCCGTAATCGTGATCTATATCGAGAAATTAGTAGATCAGTATACTGATCAAGGGTGTAGAGCCTCTGTGAAGGATAATATTGCGGCAAGAAGTAATTATTAATGTAGTCATTGCCACCAATATCCACAGTGTACAAGCACTTGTACAAGTAGTTTGAAACTGGACCAAAAACCATAAATTGGAGCCTTAAGATGGTAATTATATAATTTTGTATTTGTCGATCCAACCATATCCGATCACCCTGTAATAATATTTGTGATCAATATAAATGATTATATACGTCTAGTAGAAAATGCAGGCTTATGTCATATTTATATTGAATTAGTACTAGTAAGAATTTAAAATCAATCTTTAATACTCCTCCGTTCCTAAATGTTTTTATTCTTTACATTTAGTATCTTTCCTATTTTGGTCATAAATTTTAGATAAAATTACCCTTATTTTATAATTTTTTTTTACTTAAAAGTCCTTACTTTTCCATGTGCTATTGTACTTTTTGTACTATTTTAATAGTTTTTCAACACTTATTATTACTTTCTCTCTCCTCTCTCCTCTCTCCTCTAATTTCTTCACCCTACATGCTCAACATTGTATTTTTCAATAAAATTGTACTTTCAATCATTGAAATATTCCAATATATCTCAACTTTACACAATTTCTTAATAACCGCGCATAAATCCAAACGTAAAAAACATTAGGGAACGGAGGGAGTAATTATTTATTGATGAACTATTTTTCTAGCTTGTCATATACACTTGAGAGGTTGTGGTTTGTTACGAGTATGATAATTTTTTTGAGAAGCTAGTTATTATAGTACAATATCATTGTCAATTTAGAAAAAAATATATGGATTATACACGTAGAAATAATGATCATACAACTTGTGATCCAGTTTCCATGAGAATTCCAGCAGATCCGGATGCAAAATTGACATCTCTCAATATATCTTGACCCATTTGATCTCTATATGGTACTATAGACTTGTCGTCGAATCCCAGATATGTAGCTGTAAAATCAACATATTTGAATATTTGCTGTTAAGAAAATTACCATACAGAATAGCAAAACTAACAAAAAAGGATAAATTATATACTAAAATTGGACGAAGCTTTGCGAATTTAACCCATGATATAGATTAACTCTATGATTAACCGCTAGCATAGCCATGACCAAGCCCATATGTTATAGGTCCTAAACAATTCTCTTTCCATATGGGAGAAGATACGGCTCTTAGACCATCTTTAATGGTGAGAACGATGGAATTTTTTTAGGAGAGAGAATTTTTTTCCAAAAGATATCAATAACTTCAAATTTAGATAGTCAACTTCAAGTTTCATTTGACAAAAGATGTGGATCCTTTAACAATATTATAATATATAATGTATAATTTATTTATAGGGCTTGCCCGGTTAATCTTCGTGATTGGCATAATTTGTCAATCATATTCTCCACCTCAGCTTTTGTGAAATCCACTTGATAAATCAGCAAGATGAATCATCATTTTATTTGGTGCCGTAATCATGATTGGGTTACTAGACATTAACCATTGAAAAGCTTCTACTCTTTTTTGCTCCATTAAAGCTTCATCAACCTCCATTCCACCATTGAAGCTGGCTTCTCCATCACCTTTGAAGCTTTCCCAACACCACCATTGATGATTCCCCAAAATCCACCCACCTTCCCCAATCTTAAACGAAAACCCAATGAATTAAGGGTTAAATTAATGGCATCAACAACCCCTAAGGGTAGGGATGAGTCGGTGACCATGTCCTCCATTCAAACTCCCTCCGTTGAGCTTGATTTTCAAAGATAGGTCGTTAATGGTAGAAGTGAGCGAGGTCGTCGATGGCAACGCGAGGAGATGAAATGTATATGATAGTGGTTTTGATGATGGTTGTGGAGTGCTTTCACGTTTGACATCGATCGCTGATTGAGTGACCTCTTCAATTCTCTTGGATTACCTCCATTATTGTTGAGAGATTGAGAAGAGTGAGGAGAGAGAAAGTTAGATGGAAAATATTTTGTTAAGAGTGTGAATTGTGTAATATGGCAAGAATGCCAACTGTCAATGGCAAATTTACCATACCATCCCTAATTAAATGATAATCTCATTTACACCCTTATGACTGACAATTTTTGTTGATCATGAAGATCAACTAGTATTTCCTCTTTATTTATATCAACGCAACATAAGACTACAAGTAATATACTACCTCCGTTTTTATTTAGTTGACACATTTTGACTTTAGCACTATTCACACACCTCCCTTTGACCGTGTTTTGTGCTTTATAGATAATTAAAAATATAATCATGTGGGATCTTGTTAGATTCGTCACGTTATATACTTTCAATATATCAACTTTTCATAATTTTTTCTTATCGATAATTAAAGATATTAATGATTGAATAAGTATATTGGCAAACGTGACTAAAGAAACGTGTCAACTAAAAAGAAACGGAGGAAGTATACACTTCATCCAATGTATAATGTACATCCTTTACAATATTTTTTACAATAGCTTAATACTACTATAATGGATGTATGAAATTTTATAATGGGTATAACAAATTATGCCAAAGCTTAGAGAAAATATAGTTCAAGTATTGTGGCAAAAATTAAATATATTTTTTCAAAAGATTTGCATGCTAGTGATTAGAATTTTGAGCTATAAATCCATCCTTTAATATACTTGTGTGTGTGTGTTTTTTTTTTTGTTGTTTATTCTTATCTAATAGTAACAGGTTGTTCAAAGGACAAACATTTCAACGAGGTTTACCTTCCGGTAACTGATAAAATGAGGTATACTTACAGATATAATCCTCAATAGTCCGATTATTGGTAAACCTGCCAGTTGGTACGCCGCCAGGAAAATCAACCCCATACGGCGGGTAGTTTGCTTTAGCCATTGTCTTGAGGTTATTGTTGTTTCCAACATCGGACAATGAGTCCCCGAAAATGAAGTAACATGGCACTTTTGGTTCGCCATTAACCAAAACAGCGCAAACCATAAAAATAACAAAAATTATATTTCGTAACATTTTGGGAATTGATTGCTTGAGAAGTGTTAGTCTTACAACTCTGTGATATTGAAGATGAGATTAGTGGTCTTGGATTGCATGTTGTTGCTACCATACTTATAGCACGTTATTGTGATAAGGAAATCCATGCAACGTACGCTAGTAGTCTACTACAGAGAAGCATTTTAAGATATTAAAGGATATACGTCATTTCAAAACGTTTGAGTTTGTTTAAAAAAATCAATTATTAAAGGATTAAGACTAGTTGATGTTCATTTTATTGAATAATAAGTTGATAGTACAGTTGCTCTTATCAGCTTCTAAAGGACATGTGATTTTGTTAGATGATTTGACCCGTTAATCAGATACATACGCTACTACGGAGAACATATTAAGGTTTTTTTTTTAATAATCTATATTACTTTTACATTCTTAATAAATCAGCGTGCAGCCACAATTTAGATCTAACATTTATAGATGGATGAAGGTTGAAGATGAAGGTTTTATAATGAAGCTAAAGGGTTAGATTGAAAATGACATTCAATTCAATTCATAGGAATGTTAATAAGGTTAAAGATGATATAGGTTGAAGATAAAATATTTAAAAATTGGTTTTTTTTTTCAATTTTTTTTAAAAATAATGCGTGTAAAAGCAAAAAAACTAACCAATTAATCCCTTGATGACTATGTAGCATAGATGTATGATTAGACAGTTAGGATTAGACAAATAATAAATCAACGATTTAGATTAAGGACATGTTTTCATACGATTATTTTCACTTCAATTCAATTCAGTTCAGTTCAGCTTTAATAAGTCCAGTTCAGTACAGTTTAGCTTCTAATTTCCCTCTCTTATAAAAATATTCATTTCAATTCAGTTCAATTCAGTTCAGTTCAACTCTAATAAGTTAAGTTAAGTTCAGTTCAGTTCAATTCAGCACAATTCAGTCAATGATAACATGCCCCCTTAATATCTTATTGTAGTTGACCATAGTCGTCCGTAATCGACAATTATACTAGAATTTTTACAAAAATGAAATAACATGGCACTTTTGGTTCGCCATTAACCAAAACTCCGCATATCATACAAAAAACGAAAAGTACAATTGTCAACGTATTGGGAATTGATTGCGCAGAAGATGGGAGTAGTGGTCTGGGTCTCTTGGATTGCATGTTGATACTGCATACTTATAGCAAGTTTTTGTGACAAGGAAGCCAATGCAGTGTATGTAGTTATGTACGTCATTTCAAAGCTTTTAAGTTTGATTGATTTTTTTTTTTTTTTTTTAAAAAAAAATTAAATAAATAAAAAAAAAACAATTATTGAAGGATGAAGACCAGCAAAAGATAATTTTATTTGAAAAATAGTTGGTTGTTAGTTTATCATAATAATAAAAGGAGATGTGTTTTTGTTAGAGCAGTTGACCCGGATACGCTACTTGAATTGTATATAGATATTTTCAATTTTTGATATGAGCTTACAAATGTTATTATTATGACTATGGATGATGATAATGGATTATCATCCGCTGCAGATGAATTGATTTTGAATTAGCTTTAATGATATTAAAGATAATAATCTTAAAAATTAACCACGTAGAGTTTGAAGATGGAGTATCATGTGTGTATTTTACTCTAATTCTTGATAATCTAGATCCTTAATCAATCTTATTCTCTTACACCGGAATAAGATTGATTTATATATAAAGAGAACAACAGTTTTGTGATGGCTCAATGTCGGAGAGATAAGTTCAGGGTGGAAAATTGGCCAAAAATAATATATTAAAATATTTTACCTTTTATTAGGTATTAGTTACTTACAATGACATCTTTTCTATTAGATGGTTCTCATAAAATCAAGGTTTATTTGTTAATTTTCAAAAATAAAATAAAACAAAATAAAATTAATAAAAAAATTTATAAAATTAATAAATATGTTCGCCACACAATACACTCAAACTTACCATTTACAAGCTTAATTTAAAATTTATTAATTAATAGAATTTGAATCACGCATTAAACTTCCAACCAAATATCTCTATCCTTTAATTGTGGGGCCAATTAACTCAGGAGCTAGTCCAGTAGGAAAAATAAATATAACATGTCATTGTTATTCTTTTGCAATCCCTGGGTTTACAATAAATTTATTGTAAATCGAGGGCCCTGCACGTGCCACCCATTTACTGTTTTTTTTAAATAACAAAACTCGCGGAATTTCATACCTCAAAATCAAAAAAAACGCAAAACAACAATGGAGGAGAGAGAAAGTGAGAAAACGCTGAATTCGATCATCAATTGAGGAGAGAGAAAGTGAGAAAACATACAAATTGCAGAATTCGATCATCAATTGAGGAGACAGAAAGTGAAAAAACACACAAATTGGAGAATTCGATCATCAATTAAGGACAAAGAAAGTGAGAAAATGCACAAATTGTAGAATTCGATCATCAATTAAGGAGAGAGAAAGTGAAAAAGCGCACAAATTGGAGAATTCGATCATCAATGGAGAATTCGACGTTCGATACCACAAATTGCAGCAATCTCATCCACGAATTGCTACAAAAAACAGAGGCAAATTGAAACTGAATTTGAAATCGATTTAAATCGATCGATTATAGAAGAAGAAGAAACTAAGAGTTTTGGAGATGAATTTGTACCAATATTTGACGATAACAACAATCCAGACAATGGAGACGATGCAGAAGAAGCAATTGACAATGCAGAAAATCAAGTGGTTCCTCGTAATCAATTGATTCATATTCAGAACAAACAACCAAATCAAATGCAACTGAAGGTAAATTCTATAAACTTTTGAGATTGTATGCAAAAAGTAACCCTTTATGCATAAACGTGACCCTATTTATGCACAAATGTTACACTCAGATTGTATGTAGTAAATTCAGATTGTATGCAAAAAGTAACCCTTTGTATGCCTTAATGTTAGCCTTTTAATGCATAAAATTGACCCTATTTTCGCACAAACGTTACCCTTTTGTTGCCTCCAATTTGAATGATATGTTGCCTCTGGTTATTATCTGATATGTCTGTATTAAATCATAGATACAAATCCAATTCATGCTTCTGGTTTAGATCTTAAAAGATCATTTCTTGGTGTGGTAAGAGAAACTTTTGAAGAAATTTTGGAATTGTATGAAAAACATGCTGCTATACTGGGGTTTTCAATAAGAAAGCATACAACTAGATATAGAACACACACAAAAATAGTAACTAAGAAAAATTATGTGTGTTCTGCTAAAGGAAAGAGAAATTCAGGTGACAAGAAAACAAAGTTAGTTGAAATGGTTGATGAAGAGGATGTGAATGTAAAAACAAGAAAGCCAAGACAAGTAGCCATTACATGATTGAATTGAAAGGCATGCATAAGAGCAAAAGTGAATAAAGAAGGACATTTTATGTTATTTAGCATAACCATGAGCTAACAAGGTCACAGTGGCATTATTTGCATCGTTCTGAAAGAAAAGTTACAGAAGAAAAAGCTGAAGCAATCAAAACAATGAAATCTTCAGGTCTAACTACAATGGACACTTACAATTACATGGATACAGAGGCTGGAGGAGAACAGAATGTAGGTCATAGTGTTGTAGATCACCTGAATTTCTGCTCAAGGTTAAGAATGGAACAAATTGCGGCTGGAGATGTTCAAACTTTAGTGAACATTTTAAATCAGGAACAATCAGATGATCCAAACTTCTTTTTTAGAGTGAAGTTTGACAATGAAGGAAGAATTTCCAATATCTTTTGGAGAGATTCAATGATGCTAGAAGACTATAGGATATATGGAGATGTTCTTGTCTTTGATACAACATACAGAACCAACATATACAATCTTATATGTGCTCCATTTGTTGGCATAAATAATCACTGACATAATTTTATGTTTGCATGTGCTTTTATTCGGGATGAAAAAACAGTTTCATTTGTGTGGCTACTAGAAACCTTCTTGAAAGCTATGGAGAATAGAACACCAACTTCAATATTCACTGACCAGGACCAAGAAATGGCAAATGCAATTGAGCAGGTAGAAGATTTATATTGACATTTTACAGATTTTAAACTCTGACAATAATGTTTTCCTTTTTTCCATAAAGTTACTCTTTTAACTACATAAAGTTACCATTTTAACTGCATAAAGTGACCCCTTTAACAGCATAAAGTGACTCCTTTATTTTCAATGTAGGTGCTTCCTAATACAAGGCATAGACTTTGTATCAGACATTTGGAACAAAATGCCATAATCAAATTTGGGGCTCTTAAAAAAGACAAAGAATTCAAGTATGCATTCAACTAGTGCTTAAAGATGTGTGTGACAGAACAAGAATTTGAAGCAAAATGGCAGGCAATGATGCAGAAATATGAGTTGACAACACACTCTTGGTACCAAAGAGTGTACCAGTTGAAAGAGAAATGGTGTCCTGCCCTTAGTAGAGATTTCTTTTCAGCATAGGAATCTTATCGTCACAAAGGAGTGAAAGCACTAATCATGCTATAGGATTCAAAGCAAGTAAAGCAACTACCTTGACATATGTTTATACCATATTTAAGAAGATAACCAATCATTGGAAAAGCACAGAGAAATATGATGAGCTTACCTGTAGCAAGTTAATAGCATTCACTTCATTGCCACTATTTGGAATGCTAAAGCACGTTGCACAGGTAAAAAGTTAACTGATATGTACATAAATTATAGCAGTCTAAATGTAGCTAAATGATTTTGGTGAACAAGTTTTCACTTTGTTTAGAGATTTTGAAGAGGAGTTTGGATACTCTATGGCAACAACTGTTCAAATGATAGGAAGAAATGAAGAATGTCTACTTTATCAGGTAGCCCTAGAAGACAAGCCATGGTCTTCACATCAAGTAAACTATACACATGAGAGCCACAGTGTATGGTGTACTTGCAAAAATTTTAAAGCATATGGATGGTTATGCTATCATTGCATCAGAATTCTACACTTGCATTCAGTAACAAGTATGTTTCAGAAAAATGGACTAAGGTTGCAAAAACAGAGGCATGGGATAGGTTGAAGAATCAGGATCCTACCCAGCAATATATTCCATGGAGGCAAACAATGATGAGGAAATTCTACAATCTAATCTTAAAGAGTCAAGAAAATGAAGAGACAAGAGCATTTATGGAAGAAAGCTTCGGAAATAGTCTTTAAATGGTGGAAGACTTACTTGCTAGTGCTGCTCAGAACAAAAGAACAGAACGAAGCTGCTTCTAATATTCTTGATGTGGCAGATTGCACTCACAGCAATAATGATATTTTTTGGCATCGAGTACAAGCACAAGTGTACTAACAATACTTGATCCAAAAAGGGTTGCAACAAAAGGAAGAAGCAAGAGAGCAAAAGGAGGTCTTGAAAAAAGCAAGAGAAAAAGAAAACTAGCACAGCCACCTCCACATTAAGAATTTGGATCAAAAACACCTAACTTGAAACTCTTTTGGGAACTTTTTTAGATCCTTTTTTTAAAAAATAATATACTTTGTATTGTAAAACTATTTTTTCTTTTTTTACTCTATGACTAGTTTAATGAAAATGTAATTGACACTATTATTAGCACATGTTTAATTAGTGAACCTTTTAAATCAACATCAGAGGATCCAAACTACAAAAGTGACCCTTTAAATAGAAAAAGTGACCTTTTCCAAGCAAAAAGTGACCCTTTTTACAGAAAAAGTAATCCTTTACACATAAAAAAAGTGACCATTTACATAGCTTTTCACATGATCTTATGTTACCCTTTTCATGAATATAAGTGACCCTTTTCATGCATAAAAGTGACCCTTTTCATGGCTAAAGTTACCCTTTCTACCCACTGAATCTACCTTTTTCTTGCGTAAAAGTTACCCTTTCTATCAATAAAAGTTACCATCTTTATACATAAAAAGTTACCCTATCTACCCACAATAGTATACCTTATCATGTATAAAGTTATTCTTTCTACCCACAGAAGTAACCCTTTTTATGCTACAAAGCTCACCATTTTATGCACAAAAGTGACCCCGTAAAAAACATACAAGTTAACCTTTCAATTACTTGTTGTATGCACATACATCAGTATTCCAAAAAAAACAACCAAAAACTTTACACTAAGTTTAATTACATCATTGAACTTAATGTATGCACATACATTAAGTTTTTTCATTGTTAAAAAAGTACTCCTAGACCTAATCAGCTAATAACTAACAATCATTTCACTGTTTAGAAGGAGTGTACTTTTTTGTCTGCTTTTTTTGCCCTTTTCCTTTGGTCTTTTCTTCTTTTGCCTCTGCCTTTGCTGTTGCTTCTGCTTCCATTTTTCTTTCTTTTACTTCTTTCTTCTTCTTCTCAGCAATTGCAGCCTTTAATATTTCTTCAATTCCCTTGACATAAGAAGGATCTTTCTTCTTTTCGTTGAACTTGGGTAATTCTGAAAACACATCATTCCTAGATTCATTCAAATCACACAGCACCAGTGTGGCACAGATCACTCCTCGCAGAAATTTCCTTCCAACAATCTCACAACAGGAAAAAAAATATCAATATGTAATTAATAAAAGCATTAGAAAGGAAAAAACTACTGACAAAATATATGAATAATTACTGTTTTAAGTGCATTTAATTTGAACGATTCGCCAACAAAATGGAGCATGTGATACATGACAAAGACCCCACAGTCCAAATTGTCAACTTTATCTTTTCTCCATTCCAACTCAAAAATTTGAAACCTATAAGAAGGTAGCTGAGAACTCTTTGGATGATTTCTTTTTCCAAGAAAAGCACCCATTTGAACACACTAACAAAAAATATAAAAGTTTAGAATACATTAAAATAAAATAAAAAAGTTTAAATGGAAACAATGAATCAACAGAAACATAACAATAAATCAACATAAACATACCAAGTGTGAAGACAATTCTTTTGTATATTCAAGACCAGAATCACGCCAGATAATGCTGTCAAGATAATATACCAACTCTTTTGTATAATCAATAACTAACAAATTGTAGTGATTCTCAATAAGAATAGGAAAATAGATTTAAAACAACAAAATTAAAAGTGATTCAGACAGAGCATATCATAAACAAAACTCTTTTAAAGTTATGATATTAAGTTTAGCATGAATATATACCAGTTCAGCATCCATTATATCACATTCTAGATTCTCATAGCTCACCCAACCTTCCAATAGATCATGAAAATCTTTAACAGCACTAGAAATGTTACCTTTGCCAATGTTTTCACAAACATTCAAGAATGCAAACTATTAAAGTATAAGATCTCATTAATATATATATATATATATATATATATATATATATATATATATAAAGTAAATGTGTTAAAATATATATTAAAAAAACAAATTACTTACACTTTGCCTCACACCAAAGAAGAATTTTCGTGGACAAGAAGTCTCAAAACATGCTTTCACATTCAAATACAGACAGTAGCAATCAATAATGCACCATCGAATCCTAAGTGGAGCAACAAGGGACACCATGTTTTCTCTTGGAATTAAAAAATTCATTCCAAAAGTAACAAGGCTCTCACTGCAACAATAAAAAAAATAAGATCAACATTAAAAAAAATAGAGGAAAAAAACAAATAAAAAAATAATTATCATAAAAAATGACACTTAACTTTCTATTCATTGAATCATCCTTCAGCAAACAATAATCGAGAACTTCTAAATGTAATTGAGGCAAATTCCTGTAAATCCGAGCATTAACCTTCAAAAACAGAGTTACAAAAGGCACATGCACACCTACTGGCCCACAGTCAAGTGAGCATAGAGATTTATTTGCTCTGATGATATGTCCAGCAGGAACATTTTCAGTAGGACCAGGAATAAATCTAGAAGGTCCAACACCATTAAGAACCTCATTAACACTTTTTCCATGACCATTGTCATCATCCTTAGGAATATCTTCATTGAAACCTTGTGCAGGTTCATTTTTAGGAACAACTACTTTATCACCTTCTACAGGTTCATAAAAACCACGAAACATCTCATATACAGACTTCATTTTATTACACTCATCAATTAAACCATCTAAAATCTTCAGAGGATCAAAGAATAGTTGTTCAGTTTGAGAAACTGCAACAACATCATCAGAAGATAATGAAATAGTTTTGCGAGAAGAAACCATCTCGCTCAAGGTTTGAAAACCAGTTGACTGAACAATAATAAAATATCCTTATTTCTTTTAACCAAAAGAAATGTTTCATGAACAACCTACAAACATATAAACAAAGAAGAAACTAAACAAATGCTACAAATAAAAATAATTAAAAAAAAAAGTAAAAATTCAGAATATATGCATAAAGTGACCCTTTTAAATGCATAAAGTGACCCTTTTATTTGCATAAAGTAAGCCTTTTAACTAAATATTTAGGGTAACTTTAATACATATAAAGGGTAACTTTAGTGCACATAAAGGGTAACTTTTGTACACATTAAGGGTAATTTTTGTGCACATAAAGGGATAATAACTAAACATATAAAAAAAATAGAACACTTACATCAGCTGAAATTTCTTTAATTTCTTCATCTGTCATTATACCTTCCGGAAGCTCAAATGCAACCAGTTGTACCACTTATAGAAGCATCCTGATCATATCCCAAAGTACGAGGTTGCTTAACAATAGTTTTCCTAATATTAGGCTGTGACACAGGATATGTAAAAGTGTCCAACGATCCCTGCCTATAACCACCAACTTTGATCTCTAAATTAATCCGCTTCTTAATCTTAGCATCCGTCCAATGCTGAATCAAAGGAAGAGTATGTTGGGGTTTGGTGGGTCCGACTCACCGTGGAAACAATCCCGACCCATGGAACCACTCGTAATTAAAAAATCAATAAAGCATAAATAAATAAACACAAGAAAAGGAAGAACGAATCCTTGAAGCGAGCTTCGCCCTCTCAAAATTAAACGGGATCTTACTTGAAAGCCTTGAGCACCGCAAATGCCGTGCCTCCAACGGTATCCACCCACAAAGGACGAACACGAATTTTTAGGTCCGCTACCTTGGATTTAGCAAGGTCCGACCAAAACCCAAGTGTTAATGGAGTTTAAGAGTTTTTCCCAAAATAAGGAATGCTCTTTCTAACTCCCACTCAAACACTTTACACCAAATCCCAAGGTTGATATTTATAGAGGAAAGTATGAGTGGGAATTTCTATCCCATCAATGTGGGATTCATGAAATTCCACAAATTAATTTAAAGCTAAATTAAATTAAATATATAAGCAAGTAATAAATCAACAAGTGTCCTAGTCATATGTAAAGAGGAGTATGGACCACTTGGAGAGGAGGGGACCATACTTGCTCCCCACTCCTTCCTCTCCTTGTGACACTTGTCCACACCAAAAAGCAAGCATACTTACTAGCTTCCCCTTTCTACTCGACCTAGGCCCACGGCCCAGCTAGCCTCGCACCGTGCGGGCTGCTAGTTGCTGCCAGCACGCCCACGCATATCAGTGCGAGCTGCTGATGCCGAGGGCGCTGCTAGCTAGCCACGCACATGTGCGGGCTGCTAGCAGCAGCGCACGCCAGCACGCCACGTACTGCTTGCGGGCTCCTGGTCGTGCTGTGCTAGCATGCCTCGCACATGGTGCGGGCTGCTAGCCACGCCTTGCTAGCATGTCTCGCACATGGTGCGGGCTGCTAGCTCGGTTAATCCCCTAGCACTCGGGATTCCGATGCTAGGGGTATTTTGGTCATTGTTGATTTATTACTAATTTATCGTCTCGTCTTTTATTATTTTTGACTCGACTTCCGACGCTCGGTTTCGACGCTCTAAGCTCGAATTTTCGACGTCTAAATATTTAACACTCGGGCGACGAATTAATTTCTTCCGAATTAATTCGTCGAGTCGGTTTGTATATTTTGCTTGGGTGTGACCCAAAGGGTTTAGTCAAGATTAAGCTGTAATATTAATTATATTAATGTTACTGATCGGAAGCGGCCTCCACCCAAGCATTCCGATCACTTAACCTTACTGAATATATTAGCTTTCTAATAATTCTGAACCCGCTATCAGAATAATACACTTGTTCGAAGGACACCATTCCTTTCATTCTCCCACTTGTCCTTTCGGACAAGTGTGCATTTAGTGTATAGCCCCTTTCCTATGTCTCTTCATGTCTCTTCATGAACTACAGAGTAAGAT